ACACTCCCCGAAATGGCTGTGGGAAGTGCATCAACCACCTGAATCTGCATCCGGGCTAATTCCTGAATCAAAGGGCTCTGCTGAGTAACAACGTACGTCAAGTCACCCTTCACCTTGCGGCTTAGGGCGTCCGCAACGACGTTCGCCTTCCCCGGATGATACTGAATCATGAAATCGTAATCCTTGACGAGCTGCAGCCAACGGCGTTGTCTCATGTTGGGCTCCTTCTAAGTGAAAATGTACTGTAGGCTCTTATGATCTGTGAAAATCTCACATCAACCGCCGTATAGATAATGTCGCCAAATCTTGAGAGCATGAATAACTGCGGCTAACTCCAAGTCGTGCGTCGGATAGTTCTATTCATGTGGCTTGAGCTGGCATGAAGCATAAGCAATGATCTGGCCATCCTACATGAGTACACATCCCAAACCCTGTCTCGAAGCATCACTGAAAATGGTGAAACTCCGGGAAGGATTGGGAATAGTCAACACCGGTGCTGAAGTTAACCTCTTTTTGAGCTCCTGAAAGCTCGATTCACAACGATCAGTCCACTCGAACTTCACAGACTTCCTCGTCAGCAGGGATAACAGGAGGGCGATCTTGGAAAAGCCCTCAATGAACCTGCGATAATAGCTAGCTAGACCGAGAAAACTGCGAACCTCGGACGGACTCTTCGGTGTCGACCAGTTCTGAACAGCTGAGACCTTGGAAAGATCCACCTCGATACCTGCCTGAGTAATGACATGGCCAAGAAAAGCTATTCGCTGGAGCCAGAATTTGCATTTGGAGAATTTTGCATATAACTTTTCTCATCTGAGGGTTTCGAGAACAACCCTCAGATGCTCCTCGTGCTCCTTCTGGCTCTTGGAGTAGATAAGAATATCGTCAATGAAAAAAATAACGAAATGATCGAGGTAGGGATGGAAAATACGGTTCATCAGGTCTATAAAAACCGCTGAAGCATTACTGAGGCTGAATGGCATGATGACAAACTCATAACGGCCATAACGAGTACAGAACGCAGTCTTAGCAATATCAGACTCTTTGATTTTCAGCTGGTGGTAGCCTGATCGCAAATCAATCTTAGAGAAAACAGAGGCTCCCCTCAGCTGATCAAATAAATCGTCGATCCTGGAAAGCGGATACTTGTTCTTGATCGTCAATCGGTTAAGATCTCGGTAATCGATACACATGCGCATGGAACCATCATTCTTCTTGACAAAGAGAACGGGTGCTCCCCATGGTGTCACGCTCGGTCGGATAAAACCGAGTCGCAGTAACTCCTGAATTTGCGCCTTAAGCTCCTGCAACTCCTTCGGCGCCATACGATACGGGGCTTTGGATACTGGGCCGGCTCTTGGAATGAGATCGATAGAGAACTATACCTGCCGATTAGGCCGTCCTCCTGGAAGTTCATCTGGGAACACGTCCACAAACTGACGAAACAATGGGAACGTCGTGAGGTGACCGTGCTTTCTGGGAATCATCGACAAGGCTCACAAGATAACCCTGACAATTGCCTCCTCGTAGCATCTTGGTGGCTTTCACCATCGAAACAACATGAGGTAAAGAACGATTCTTGGTTCCAAAGAAAGTAATCAAATCGTCTCCAGGAAGATAAAGAGTAATCTCTCGATCATGGCATCGAATGTATGCATGATAAAAGGTTAGCCAATCCATACCGAGTATGAGGTCAAAATCCCTCATCTCGAGAACATACGCATCGGTAGACAATATACGACCACCAAATGGAAAGGCTGAGATCTGTAGCTTTAGCAGTGGTCACTATCTTTCGTCCCGAGGCTAAACTCACCTCGAGAGGACCGACAGCGGTAATGGCATGTACTCCGATGGTATCAAGACATCGTCGTGAATAAAAGAGTGTGTCGCTCCAGTATCAAACAGGGCGAAAACAGGAACATCATTAAGTATAAGCATCCCTGACATGGTACCTGGCTGCTGCTCTGCCTCGGCCTGATCAACTGCATAGACT